AAAAAAAGGTAAGTTTTTGTTGCCCATTTGAACTTCGACGACGACGATGTTGCCATTAAGTGTTTTTTTTTGCTGTTTTGAACTTCGACGACGAGGACATTGCCATTTAGTGTTTTTTTTGCCGTTTTGAACTAAAAGTGTGACCCAGGAACAGTTTCCCCCCAAAAAAAAGAACGTCCTTCTTTTTCGCTGCAGGGTACAGGCCGGGTTCTTTTCTAAATTCCCTCAAGCTTTTTCGGCGACGATCACTCCCTGCCCGCCACGACTTCAAACGTTTCTACTTACCTCAGAAGGCGCCACGGCAGCCTTAGTCTGCGGAACCATGTGGAATCCGCCAAAACACTACTTTTTCCGCCAAAACACTACTTTTTACTTACCGTAAGTAGTGTGGGATCAGACTCTTAGGTTTAAAGTACTGTACGATCAGTAGCTAACCCCCTCAGAATTACGAAGGACACCTCGTCTGTAATTGCGGCCAAATACGAGATGTAGGTTCGAGTATGCCCTCAGTGTGATGGTAGAGGAGAGAAACTGATGCAACATTTATGAAACGCATTTGGACTCATGCACAGCTTTGAGAAATCCAACTGCATGATGAGATAACCTTTGAGGTCGATTCAGTCCCTGTGTGATTTGGGGAACACTTTTTTTATTTTTTATAAGTGTATCCTATGCCAGGCAACTGGCATGTCATGATGTGTGTGTCCAAACCCTAAACTTGCAGACTGTGCAAAAACGGCTGAATGTCAGAAATGGAAATGTGTCGAATAGCCTTGTGCTGCATTTTGCAGCCAAAATAATTTTTAGTGTTTTTTTTTTTTTTTCCTAAGAAGATCACAACGATATTTATAGACTCTGACTTTTTTACATTTTTTCTTACATTCTTCTGAGCTAAAAACATCACCAAAGGCGCAGTACTTTTCTGTTGGCCGGCACATGGCATGGCACCAAAAATGGAAAAACTGCGGAATTTGTGTGGTGGTTATTTGACATTGATAATGATTTTCAATTTATTTTTTTTAAATGGTTTTCTTGGAGAGATCACGACCTAATTCAGAGGAACCCCAGTTTTTAAAATTTTTAACTCATTCTTTTGACCGTGAAAAATCTCTGAAGTTAGGATAGTTTTTCCAAGTGACAAAAATGGAAAATGCACCGAATTGGCTCGGCGACAATTTCAGCAACAAATTGTTTCTTTTTTCATATTTTTCAGAAATATTTCCTGGGAGGATCAAGACCTCGTCTAAGGGACTCGTTCGACACTCCTCGGGCCGTCCTCGGGGCCCGAGGAAATTATCCCATCGTCGCCCGAGGAAATTTGCACCGTCGTTCCACTTATCCTTGGAATTGTTCCCCGAGGACGATTCCTCGGGGCCTTCTGCGGCCACTTTCATATATCGACAAGTGGACGCGAGGGTGGGAAGGAGGTTGGTCCAGCAAGGTGTGTCCGTGCCGACGTCGTTGGTCCAGCTCGGGCGGGCGTCACGAATTCGAAAGTTGGCGGTGGAAAAAAAAAAAGGCACGAAAAAGGCGCGCAGGCCCGGGTTCGAAATTCGAAATTAGAATTTCCGCAAGCGACCGGCCAGTACCGTGGGCGTCCCTTGCGGCTGACGGCGGCAGCGTTCCTCGGCGGAAGCGTTTGGGTACGGGGTGGCGGCTGCGTGTCGGTGGGCACGCCGAACGTACATGTACACGTCCGAAGCAGCAGACACGCCGTCACACGATCGCTGTCGTTGTCGTCTTCGCAGTCGAGCTTGATCATCGACGTGTACGCTGTGCACTCGGGTCGTCACTCGCTGCAGCGCTGCTGTGCGGCCCGCAACACATGGAGTCTTCTGCACTTGGCGACGCCCACGTCGACAGTACCAGTTTCGGCGATGGCCACAAACGGGGGGACGGGACGTGACACACTGAGCAAGGCGGAGAGGACGGCGGTGGCAGCGGCCGTGAACGCCACCCTCTTTCGGTGTCAATTGCAGAGGGGCAAGGGAACGATGAGAGCGGCCATTTGCGCACGGCAGAAGAGGACGCTGCAGTCCACGAATGTGGAGGGAGAGGACAGTGGTGCCATTTGCGACGGCGTGCTGCAGGTGTGCTATGCCATGGGGTGTGGAGCATTCACCAGAGCGACGCCCAGGTGGTGGATGAAGCGACGGACAGGAGGGATGTGGGAGGATCTTCGGCAATGCGACGACGCGACAGCGGACTACTTCAAGGACAAGCTGCACATGTCGCCACGTGTGTTCCGAGAGATCACAGAAGCTTTGTCTCCCTTCCTTGAGCAGCGTGTCACTTTCTATCGGGAGCCGCTCCAACCTGACCACATTGTCACATACTCTTTGTACAGGTGGGCGTCGGGGGATACCTACGAGAGCGGGACATGCAGCTTCGACATTGGCAGATCTTCTGGGTTGGTGGCAGTGCGGGATGTAACAGCAGTGTTGCTGAGTGCGTACCCTGACAAGATATCCTGGCCGACGGGTCTGCAGAAGGCGGTCGTCTTGCGCTCTTTCACTGACAAGGGTTTCCCTAACTGCCATGGGTGCATCGACTGCACCCACATCTTCATTGACAAGCCAGCGAATTGTCCTGCGGAGGACTACTACGATAGAAAACGC